GTGGGTAGTTATGCCACTGATTTTAATATACTATTTGTTCCTTTTTTACTTCCAATAAAAAAAATTGAAATTAATGTCATAAATGGCAACACCGCAACTATATTTTTTGGGTTAAATTTATTATGAATAAAACAATTTGAGAGTGACAATTTTATGGTGAAAGTTTATATTTAAAAATGAAGTGTCAACTGTCACTTTTCTGAAACTAAATTTGTGAATTCCTTCGACCGTGAATTCCGAGTGAAAGTTGTAACATTTACAATAGTGTATAATTAATTGCCTATACTCTTCCGTCATTCAACATAACCTCAAGTTTGAGTCATTGAGTGCAACAAAATTGTGTGATTTGCATGCATAATATCCGGTTCTCGCGGTCCTTATCAAATTTCGAACCCCACGAAGTCAGAGATAAACGCGCAATGAATGCAGTTTAAAATTAGGCGATTTGGTTTTTTTTGATGCGGTTTAGGTAACCGGAAGTGTCATTACATCAAATAATGCGTAAGTAACTGTAATTTCGTCTTAACATTTTTTATTATTTATTCTACAATGACAGCAGTATGGTTTTGGATCTTTAGAATTAATGGCAACGACGCAAAAAAACTGTTTTGCTTTTTGTCTGAAGTCGAAATATGGCAAAAAACGTCATAATTATTCTCTTATTGGTTGATTTTTTATCATTTGTAACTTCAGTTCCTCAAATTTTTACTGAAAGTTACGCTTTTTGCGAATTTAAATTCTCTGGAAAGAAAAAAATTACATTTCCGAAGTAAGTATAAAATTATGAAATTAATATTACTTAATAAGGAACGATTTATTATAGTAAATTATGGACAATTGATACTTCGGATTTTATTTTACATTTTTCACTATGTGGATCAGTACAAGAGGCATGCAAAAATGCGACTTCTTCGTGTCTTTTCCCAAAAACTTCCAATAAAATGATTGATTTAGGTCACGAGTTTAGTTCAGGTATAATAACTAGTTTAAATGAAAAACATTTGTCTATTTTGGTTTAAGCCGGCTCCGATGACACTATTCTTGTCTCACAAAACGGGGCTAAGTGCCACAATTCTGACCAAAATTACACTCTTTCCATATCTTTCGTTTGTTCCGCATCAATTAAACCAAAACCTCGCCTGTTGGCTCAAGACGAGGAAAACGGGTGTAATTTTGAAGTGACCATGATGCGACCCGATTGCCAACCGAGGTGCACCGAAAACGTTCAAGGCTCTTCATTAATCGACATTCGCAATTTCCCAAAAAACATCCAAGTCCACTCCGACTCAAAACACTTCAGTTTGAGTCTTTGTGGCTCAAACAAAAACTGCTCCGCTGACATAAGCGCTTGCGAGATCCAACCAGACGGCTCAACCACCCCTTTGGCCAGTATCGAATCTCAACTTCTCATCTACGACCAAAGCAAAGGCGAACTCAAGGCAAGGGGGCGGTTTAATGAACGAGGCGGTAAACCAGCCACTGGTCGATTAAACCCACACTAATACTCGCGTTTTTAGAACTTAAAATTGTTCAAGTTTTGATTAAATGCAACTGGGAGACCGAGGCGGCGAACCCTGTTTACAAAAAGGGCCCCTCTCAAGGGAAATGGTACAAATTCGAAATACAATCGTCGTATGGTTGTGTCAAATTGCCATATGATTGCCGATTGTCAAGTATTGACAATTTCAATTATGATCTGAGGAGTTTGTATACTTTACATGGGTGGGCAGTTGGGGGAGTCCCCAGAGGGAAAATTTTTATTAATATTTGTGGCCCACTCAAACAACCCCCAAATCGCTGCTCTGGTGAGTTGCAAAATTTTCATTTTAACGCGCATCAAGTAGGTTGTAGAAGTCTAAATGCATCTTTAATTTAAAGGCATTCACACAAAAAGTGTCATTGTCATCACTATTGACAAAAACCTTTAAATTTGTTAATTACCTTGTTAATTTTAATTATTTTTGCTAACTGGGATACACATAGGATACATAGGATTGTTTGAATTTTCGCATGGTCGCCACCTTAAAATAATCAGCGACTACTTCGATGCACACTATAATGAAAACTTTTTGATAATTAGGTTAAAAGTCATTTTTGATTTTAGCTCAACATTCGCAAGTGTGTCACGTGACTGATAACGACTACATAAATCGGGGCAGTATTTTATCACTTTTCGAAGCCCAGAATGACTCACTTCGGGCCCGATTCGTGTTTGGTTCCACTTGCAGGGAAAACACCAGTCGTACCTACAGTACGGAAATCGAATTCAAATGTTCAAAAACCGAAAAGGGGCCCCAATTTAAAGACACCAAAAATTGCGTTATGTTTTTACAATGGGAGACACCCAAAGCGTGCCCTCTTGATTATTACAAAAGTCAAAATTGTTACGTCAGTGACAGGGTGTCCAACCGAAATTTGAAAAACCTACATACTCACACTGACCGAATTTACCCTTTATCAGCCTCAAACGACGCGAAATTAATTTACAATTTATGTGGCCCCATCCATGAGTCTTGTAACAACCACAAAAACGTCAGTTTTTGCCTTAAAACCGCCCAGAGGGAAAGTGTGATCGGGTGGGACACGCGTGAAGTTATCAGCGAAAAGGAACGGCTATTTATGCAATTTTCCGGTGAAAATGGGGGCGAAATTTTCGTTAATTTGATCTGCAGTTACCAAAATCCGTCCCCTGTGCCCGACTTACACGTGGTTGGTGGAAAATTTCTGTTTCAACTTTTTAATTGATTTTTCCAGACTGAAGATAGCCGCAGATACAATTTGACGGTTTTTACTCCATTGGCGTGCATAGCACAAGGGGTTTTCCCCGAATGTGTCTACCATTCAGGAAATATTACCTACGATTTGACTCCGCTTGTTTCAAAAAATAAAAATTATGTGATTCCCGGAGATGGCGAGACTGAATTTATTTTTAACGTTTGTGGGCCGATTATTACCGCCCCGGGGGCCTTATGTAGGGGCTCCACAATGTTTTGTAAACACAACAAAACAGCACTTAATATTAAGCACCAGTAAGTTTAAAAAAAATTGAAAATTTGTATTCTTTGATAATGACAGGTATGCATCACTGGGCGGAGTTTCGAGGCCACGCCTACTGAATAATACTCTAATCCTGGAAGCCCCAATGGGTGAATTTTGTCGCGAAGTTGGTTATTACAAATCAGTGATGCATTTCAAGTGCTCTCAAACAAATGTATTTAATTTTGTGGGGCTAAAAACACGTTTTTTCATTTTTTATTGTAGGTGTTACCAAGGTTCGTATCGAAAGACTCTTGTGTGTACAATTTTATATGGGAGACCCCTCAAGCTTGTCCCCAAACCAGAAACTGTACTGTTGGGGGCCCCCAACCAGGCTTAATGTAAGTACAGTGTGAAAAAAAAAAACAAATTTTGGGCTTTTATTCAAGGATCTCACTTTCTTCTATTTATTTTCTTTTTAGTTCCCGAGAGTAAGCACAAATGACACAAGATTTATTTTTGTAACCTTACTTATTTTATAATCACTATATGTAATAAAAATATAGATAACAAATTTGAGTCTTTTTTAGATTTGACCTAACTAAAATAAAAAATAAAGTTGTCAGATTTGACATTGATGGAATCTCCAATAAGTATGAATTTGATTTATGTAAAGATGTTTACACAAGTAAGTTTGGTTTTTTAATGAATTTCCAAATGAGTGTTTTTTTTTAGATTTGAATAAAACAAATCGTCTCCGACGCTATTACTCAATTGTGAATGGAATTGCGTTTATTATTTTGGATTTGAATAAAAAGTGTTCAAAAGCGACGCCACTGACCAAAATTATTTTTAAATTAGAATGTTCGGAAACAAATAACGAACATTTCGAACAAACAGCGTTTAAAAATTGTGTTTTAAACATCACTCTCAAGACACGCACAACGTGTCATGAGTCTACTACAATCAAAGAACACAACTTAGTTGTGCAAAAATTCGAAACTAATTGTACAATTTTTAACGGGAATACAGGGTACGAATTTAACTTAATTAACCTCAAATCGGAGGACGTACGTCACTGTTTTCCCCTATTTTCAATTCCCTGATGATATTTTTCCAGATTTTGCAAAAATTCCAAATTAATCTCGACCAAAGTAGCGTTTGTGATGGCATTTTTTGTAAAAACGGATCAAGAGTGGTTCCACAAGTGTGTCCAATCGTTTCGTTTAATTATTCTTCTCAGATTGTTAAACTGGAGTATTCGGGGGTTGTGTGTGGACGAAGTGAGGGGTATTTTTGAATTTGGAAAAAAACTAACATGATTTTTTAGGCAAATATGAGTTTGAAGTACTTTTGAAATGTAATCAAACCAAAACCAATGCATGTATTATTGAAGATGCGGAATGCAAATCTGTGATTTCGTATAATTTACCAGAAGCTTGTTTGTTGTTGAAACAAGAAATTGTGGCTTCGACCCCCACTGCAGCGATAGCAGGGGGTGTAACAACACTTTTGGTTGTGGTAGCTTTAATTATTGCTATTTATTTCTGTAAACGATCGAGGCATTTGCCTTATTTGAATATTCCACTTTATAGCAGCAAGACCTCCGTTCCTATTTATTGTCGCGTAAGTTTTTATTTATGTGTGATTTGGTTTTGTCTCATTTTTGTTTTCAGGATGCCACAGAATAATACTCCAAAACGAAAAAGATTTTTTTTTTGTTACCAAATTTAACACAAGTGCCTAGCAGTATTGTTTTTATTTGTTTTTTAATAAATTCTCATATTTAAATTGTGTTTTTTTGCCCCTCGATTTTGTAAAATGCCAGGTAATGTCAGAAAAATCAATATGATTAAAATGTCTGCTTTAATTCTCGTTATTGATTACGAGTTAAACGCTTATCATTAAAGAGTTTGCTTGACTAATTCAGGGAAATTAAAAAAAATATTTTTTCAACAAGAACCCCACACTGGAAATTAAAACAATAATAAAAACATTTGAGATAATCGACTTTCATTCTTAGAAATGACCACTACTTAAAATTATATTTTCTTGGATTCGTTTATCTGCTATATAACACGATGACCTTCTACACAATGGGTCATTGCTATAAGAATAAGTCGATTTACAAATGCAAATAGTGAGATCTTGACTCTCGAACAAATCGCATCAGTGTTTTTATTGTCAACAAAAATTAAGTAAGTCACAATATTTGATTTTTAAGTCGTTTTAATAAAAACTCTTATCAGATAAACAGAATTGTCACACAAAGATAACAAGAATAAACCTTATCAAATTATTTTACAACAAGTGTATGACAACAAAAATTTTGGTGCTTGGAACAATAATTCAAACTCTCAAGTTTGTTTTTGTTAAGTGGTGACGCAAGCTCGAATTAAACCATTGGGTGATGATAATTAATAACAAATTAACAAATCAGTTAAAAGATTTAATCTTGTAAATATTTTACTTGTGTAGTTTTTCATTATGAAATGAAGCAGAGAAATCTAATCAATGATAAGCCAATTATCAGTTTAATATGTGTTGCAGGCCCCTATTATGTAATAATCGGGAAATTTAATGCCAAAATTTTATCACCAGCTACCTTAAGCACCTTCGTCATTTCTAGAATAGACTGAAAAATAACAAAAAAATTACAAATTGTTTTTTATGTGGGCTTGTGTACTTTTTTTAAATTTTTACCCTGTTTTATGCAAAAAACACCAAAACACTTTGGTCAAAGTTCAAATAAAAATTAATATAAATAATTAATTAATTAAATATAAAACAAAAAATGACTAATTATGGTACAAGTGTGTTATATTATGCAAGAAAAGGTTTACCCCACCGACCACACTTTACAAATTTTTGTTTTGTTTTTGAGTTCTGTAAAATTTTTAATTTTTTTAAATGCCAACCCACTAATATTTTTTTACAAAGGCTATGATTTAAAGATTACAGCTATTTACATTTTGTTCAATTTTTATCGAATTTTCTTTTTATATACAGGTGTTTTACAAAAAGACAAAAAAAGAAAAATGCCAAGTATAAGATAGATGTTTAAAAAAATTTATCTATAAAAATTTCGCAGTTATGAGAGTTTAAATTTTGCACTTTGATTCTATTTCTGTTGGAAAAATAATTTTACATGACAAATTGTTTTTTATGTGGGCTTGTGTACTTTTTTTTTACATTTTTGCCCTGTTTTATGCAAAAAAACACCAAAACACTTTAGTCAAAGTTCAAATAAAAAGGATTACAGGCTATAAGAAAGTAAAAAAAAAACATCCAATTAAATATAAAACAAAAAATGACTAATAGTTATGGTACAAGTGTGTTATACTTATTATGCAAGAAAAGGTTTACCCCACCGACCACATTTTACAAATTTGTATTTTGTTTTGGACTTTTGTAAAACTTTTAATTTTTTTAAATGCCAACCCACTAGTAGTTTTTTTACAAAGGCTATGATTCAAAGATTACAGCTATTTACATTTTGTTAAATTTTTATTGAATTTTCTTTTTATATACAGACTGTTTTGCAAAAAGACAAAAAAAAAAGAAAAATGCCAAGTAGTTAAATAAGATAGATGTTTAAAAAAATCTGTATATAAAAATTTCGCAGTTATGAGAGTTTAAATTTTGCACTTTGAATCTATTTCTGTTGCAAAAATAATTTTACATGTTCTTTCGTAGCTTTTTTGTATTTTTACTGAATAATTATGAAAAAACATCATCGGTAAAAAAAAGTCAAATGTCAAAAAAAAAATTTAAACATTTTTTTAATGTTCCTTTTCATTTTTCTTTTTTTTGTCTTTTTACAAAATACTCATTTGACACCCACTGCCATTTTGAAAAAATTGTATAACACAAAAACAAAACAAAATTTCATTTTCAAACACGATCACATTTTCTATAACACTTATTTTTATCAAGTACTTGTATTATTTTCTGATGATTTAAAAAAAAACTTGGTTTCATACTATCATGTATAAAAACATAATAAAAATAAGCCAATGATCTAAAAAATAAAAATTAATAAACAATTTTCAACTTGTTTTAAAATTGTATCTTTGTTTTTGATTGATATTATTTCAATTTATATATTTTTTTTTGAAAAATTTTATGTAATACATAATATTTTAGTTGTTTTGACAATTAAAAAATCTATCGAATTCGCTAGGTTTTTATTAAAAAAAATGTGGCTGCCGTCATTACTCAAAAAGTGTATTTTTGTTTAAATCAAGTTGAAAATTGTGTATTTTTTAAAAAGAAAATTGACCTGTTTGAGCATTTTTGCCAAAACAAAATATTTGCTAGTTACAATTTAGGATATAGCTTCCTTGTTTTCTCTTTTAATAGCCTAAGTATAGCAAAAAAACTTGCAAACACAGAAATAAATAGTCAAAGTGCAAAATTTAACTTCGAAATTTTTATAGATAATTTTGTTTCCATATTCCTGGTATCTCTTACCTTATATGGCCTTTTTCTCTGGGGCGCGAGTTCTGAGGCACCCTGTATGTATGACTTGTATTAATAAGTGTCATTTAAAAAGAATTCTAATGTTTTTATTTAAAAAAACTTTAGGTCATAAGGTTTTTATATTAAAATTTAAATATAAAAAATTGAAGCTTTCGGGCTGGCCCCCTGAATCCGCCCTTGGATAAAGGTAATAATTTAATGCAAATGTTTGCCTGGATGTGCGCACGCGCTGTTTTTTATGGTATTAAAGCACCGATTTTGGTGTTAAAATGCAACAACAAATTAATCCATTAACAAAAACTTATCTGCAATATAATAAACGGGACCTGTTTATTAGTTTGAGTGATATTGATAAGAATGAATTTTCTTAGAAAGATGATTTTCTTATATATTGCGAAGTACTTTTTTTAGGAATGAAGTAATGTCATTGCACTACAATGTGTTAAAAATAAAACAGTGCAGAGATTTATGTCTGTTATTTTGGGAACACGATAAGAGAAATATGTTTTTTCAAATTTGAATCCCTACTTAAATTAATTAAGTAATAATTAATTAAATTCCTTGTAATTATTTCGAGTTAATTCGTTTTAATTGGTTGGTCGAATGTGCATGTCTACAAGTCAGGGCCTCCCTTGAGAATTTTCCAAATTTGGAACATTCTCATTTTTCCCTTAATTAACGAAAAGTTGTTTTTTTCAGCGATGCGCTTGCGCAAAAACTTTCGTGTTTCGTCGCCTCAAAATGTTTATATAGCAATAGCAGTTTTGCTACTAGTTTGTTGTCTGAGTTGTTCGGCGGCAACAGTCAGCGGTAAAAGACCACCATCACCATCGACTGCAACAAATCCGGCAAAAAAACAAGCAACAGTTATGGAGCCCGCATTTGCAAATGCCGGTCAAAAAGCTGGAATTGAAATTTGGAGAATTGAGGTAAAACTAATTTTTTTCATTGATTACTAGTTGCAATTTTTGTAATTTTATTTGGGTTCAATAAATGGGAAAAATCAATACGTGTCGTGATAACTATTTATAGAGGGATTTAAGTACCTTCAACATTTGTGAATTATTACCTCGATTATTGTATTTCGGTCTCAGTACTTAAAATCATAGATTAATTTTTGACACACTAGAGATAAAAATTGCATCATTTCTACGAATTTTCCAGATATACCTATCGGAATTATCTCAAAAAAATGTTTTCCTCTAAATAAAACTAGTCCAAATTGAATTGAAATTGTAAGAATCACTCGTAAACATATTTTTAGCATCTTCTGTCATGTTTTAAATTTCAAAATTCGTCAGTTTTGTTATGGCCTACAAATCATTTTAATTTTATCACATTGGAACGGAAATTCTGAGGTTTGAAGATAAAAAATTTAAACGCAATTGTTTTTTCAAAAACTCAATTGCCACCGTGATTTTACATTGCGTAAACCACTCACTGATAACAGTGTTATCACCTGCATCTGTTAAAATATCGACGCGAAAATTTATTTATTGTGCCATCGAAACTTTCTCTATGTTAAAACCTATAAATACTATTATTTAGACACCGCAAGTTAATAAAACGTTTTGGTTTACATCATGTTAAAAATAAACTTTAAAGAAAATAAATGTGTGTTCTTTCCCATTGATAGTTTTGACAGTTTTATTCGATTCGTTTTCGGTGTTGAAAATTGGTTTTAACGCGGAATTTTAATATTTGAACCAATTCAAGGCTGCTAGAATAACCCATGAATCATTTAAGGTCATTTTGCGTAACGTAAACTAATTACCGTGTTTTCTTTCAAGAACTTCAAACCGGTGGCGTACCCCAAAAACGAGTACGGGAAATTCTACTCCGGAGACTCCTACATTGTTCTAAGTGTAAGTCTTTGATTTCATCGGGAAAGCAATTAATAAGTCATTTGCAGACGAAAATCAATAAACGGGGCGAAAAATCATGGGATATACACTATTGGCTAGGCTCGCAAACCAGTCAGGTATGCAGGCGCTTCGCCCCCAAATCCCAGAAATTCCAATAAAAACACCAGTTTTTCTCTCCTGAAAGTCTAAAAAGCTTTGAAATTACCTTGAAAACGAAAGTATTGCGACTTCCTCTTGACTCAGTTTGTTATTTTTGTAAAGAAACTACTTGCTTATTATGTATTCTTAGAAAAAATCTTTTTGATAGAATGCCAAAAAAGGTTGCAGTATTTAAATTTAAAATGGTCACAGTTTTGCAACAGTCTGCACTTCACATTTATTTGTAAAAAATTACATTTGTTCCTAAAATATATTGGCAATAGTTCAGTGTTGCCAACAGGTTTTTAAACAATAATCGAGATCAAAAAAAAACTCATCTCTGATTTTAGAGAATGCAATAAACCAAAGTTTGAAGCTATTGGTTCCTCACATTATTAAAATGGCTGAATCACATTAATCAGTTGCATAAAATTTTTGAATTAATCGCAAACCTAAAAATGATTGGTTTTTGACATTTTATAATGGCCGACTCAAACGGACCAATCAGGGCCGCAACCAGGATTTTATTTCGAGGGGGGGGTTTTGTTGGTGCATGAAAATGAAATGAAAGAAGACGGATTAAAAAACAAAAATCTCTAAGTACACATTTTTATTTTAAATTGAAATAAGAGATCCTAATTAAACATAAAAAAATACAAATTAACTCACAAAAGTAACAAAAAATAAAATAAATTTTTAATACTTTTTATTGTTACAAATTTAAACAGGAGATGAATATTCATTTTTAAAACAAAAATTTTCTATGACCATATATCGAAAAATGCTACGCAAGGAGTGCGTCTTTTAATAGGTATTTTTTCAATATTTCCGAAATCATTTTAGAAAAAAATTTCAAAATTTGCTACAGATGATAACTTTTATACACCTAAACAAGTACAAAAATAAAATGTTGAAATTTCTAATTAGGTGCTTCCTAAACTAGATGGGATTAGGGTAAAAAATTACTCTATAACTATTTTGCCTGTGGTTTCTTGCCACTTTCAGCAACAAAATTTCATAGTTTTTCATAAATAAGGTCTTTTGTGTTTTTCCGATACAATTTACGGATTTTTAGTAAAAATCGGTTTAAAAATTTATGTTACAGACCATAAACAGCATAAAAATTAAAAATTAAATTTGTTTTACCGTTTAGGACGCCCCTGATTAAAAATTTTGTTATTTGGCATTTGTTTAGGTTTATCTATTCTGAAATATTTGGAAAAACCCTTTAAAAAACGTACCTTTTTTGGGGGGTGTAGCTCCTTTTCATAGCATTTTTATCTCAAAATTAAATATTCTATCAACTATTTAAATTTGTACCTAACAATAAAAATGAAACACTGTATAATTAACACATGAAAAATTAATTCACAAAAATT